TGTAATAGGAAAGGTTACAAATCAGACATTTTTTGTGTCTAATTATTTTGATACAAATAATCTTAATTGTGACTCACAAAATCATTACAAATAGAGTAGTAATTATGTTTATTTTTTTCATCACTAAAATCATGACTTCTGTGACAATTACAAAATTAATTATTATTAATTTTAGTGACTCAGTATTTGTGATGAATAGTGACCAACTAAATTTTAAATACAAATGCATATTGTGACAAAAAGTATAAGTTTTTCCATTAATGGATAACATTTTAGACCTTACGAGGATATATAGAGATTACCATTGTAGGGATAGTTTACGTAAGACTAAATTTATATTTGCTATGAGACACTCATTTTAGTCATTGTATAGATATATCGTTTGTTTAGATGAAGTTAGTAAGTTTCTAGGATAAAGAATATTATAAGCTATGGTGAAAGCTTGCCTCTTTAATTTCGAGGGTATTTTCTATTTAGAAATTTTGCATGCCAAATTTGCACTCTATTCCTTATCATTCCCAAAGGGACAATAAGTAGAAGCATTAGCGTAAGATTCGAAGAATGTATTGTTGGTGTCTCTGATCTTTGCAATAGTTTAGATTTGTTTTTACATCTCATTCACTAGTCTGAATCTACATTATTGATTAACTGTTAGCATGGCTCTACTTAAGGCATTTATCTTATGTAATTGGTAAAGTATTAAAAATCTTTTGTGTGTTTGAGTAAAGTTGGTAAGATGAAAAAGTTTGCTATGTTCTTGAGTAAAAGAAACCTAAAAGTTTATGCCATAATGGATTTAAATATTCTAGCCATCCAAGTATATAACTAAATGTTTTACTCATTTAGTGTTTTACTCATTTAAGGTCTATTTTGTAAGAAAGCTCTTCATCATGCTTATTGCTAACTTAATCTCCTTTCTTTATTTTATCAATTAAGCCCTGCATCATCCTTACTGCTATTTTTGTTTAATATCTTTCTGAATTGATTTAAGATGGTATATAGGGACTTTACTAGCTTACTTTGCTAACTATAGTTTTAAGTATCTAAAAATATGAGTTCTGTTAAAAACGAAAAACAAAAAGTCAAGGAGATGGTGTTTTTAGGACTTACATGCAATGGACAAGTGAAATGAATCACATTTTAGCTCCCTCACTGTAGACTCTTTATCTCAAGACCTCAAAACTAATAAAGATTGGAAGCTTCAAGCATGACAAGGAGAAAGTTAAGAATAAAGTAAGACAATGATGGAAACATTTCTCTATTATTAGTGAAATTAGAAACCATAAAAGTGAGTTTCCATAAGATGAAGAAAAGAATATGATTGTTATAATAAAAGATAATTTACCAGTATGGAAAAATTATGTTTAGAAGAATGTGTGACGTCCTATATCTTACATCGAGGAGGAGGTGTAAGTGTATTTGATACATAAATGACCAACTATTTCTAACAACTTGAGTTTAAGCTTTTAAGGGCCGATGAATCTTGGCCTAAAGAGTTGTTAAGCTAGTGGAAGGCTTTGAGTTAGGTCATTTAAGTTAATATTAAAGCATTCACCTCTTACCCAAGGAGGCTTATGTTGACCACCATGAATGTGTTTTACATTACTTGAGGTGGATCTTGTGCTTGTAGGCCTTATTTTGATTATGATTGGGCTTAATGAGGATATCAAGTGTTTAATTGGGGAGATTATGATGCCTTGAATCCCACATTGATGATAAAGTGTGGGTTATCTAATATATAATAGACCAACTATTACTAACAACTTGAACTTAAGCTTTTGAGGGCACATAGATCTTGGTTCAAAGAGTCATTAGTCTAGTGACATGCCTCTACCAAAGTCGTTTTAGAGTGAAAGCAAAAGAATATGAAAATAAACTAATAGAAAAGTAGGATGATATTGTGATGTTGTGTGGGATGAATTGAGCAACTAGTGAAGGTGCTGAAACTTTTGAAGATGTTGAAGAAGCCATGGTAAGAGAGGATAGAAATGATGTAAAGTACTTAATACCACCTGCTACCCAGTAGATAAACATTCTATATCTTCTATGGTAGTTTCACCAAAAAATTGAAGAAAAGATCCATTGGTTGCTATTGTTGGTGATATTATATTATCACTCAAGAAGTACATGAATTTAAAAAGGAACCAAGTGATCAAGAGATATGAAGTTGTTTCTAAAATTTAAGGTCTTTCTCAATAAGAGACTTTCAAGGCAGTCCAATTGTTATTAAATAGTGATATTGAGCAATTCTTCTTGCTAAAATCACTTCTAGATGATAAAAAGAATGATTAGCTGACTTTCCTTCTAAATTCAAGTTAGTAATAAATCTTACAATTGAAGTTAGCTTAGAGATTATTTGATAAACTTGTTTGTTAATTGTTTGTTCTAATTGAGTCTTGTTCTTGAGTTTGAATTCTAATGAGTTTTTTTCTTTAAATTTAAAATAAAATCATGAGTTACTTTTGGTTGTTTCCCTTTGTTGATGATGCCTTAGAGTTAAAACAGGAGATTAAATTAAAATACATAATTAAAAATTGTTGCCTTTAGTTG